TGCCGAGCAAGATTCATTTAAAATAAATACGCCCAAATTTTCATTTGCCCAATTCACTTAAAGGCCTCTAAAGGCTGACCTTAATCTGGAAGGCAAGTTGCTTTCTATTTATAGTTTGGTTTACTTTGGTTTATTTTGTTTTACGGCATATCAACCTCAATGGGTTATTTAATGCCGACAAAATTTTTTATTGCTGGTAATATTTTGCTTTGTCAAAAATCTGTTTCTGGTAATATTTTTCCTTCAAAATTGTATTGCTGGTAATAATGTTTTTTCAAAAAAGTATTGGTGGTAATAGTTAACTATTTGCCCATAGCTGGGAGCCTAACAGGTGCTACCACCCCTCAGGGTGGACCTGCGAACACCACAATTAAAAGTTGGTTCCACGTTCCTCAAAACCTCCTGATCAGAGGCCTTGCTGCTGGACGTAGTTTATCGTCTTACTCAGGACGCGGATGTAGTTTAACGTCTTACCAAGGACGTCCTATTTATAGATGTCATGTTGTAGTTATTTAAAAAATACATAAATAAGGTAAATTAATAAAAATAGTGTAGTTAGCTAAGTAACAACTACATTTAAAATTCAAATTTAGTTTTACTTTTCAAATGCAGAAAGGTATTTAAATATAAATGCTTAATTAAAAAAAGGGATTTGTAATAAAGCGTACGCGATAGACGAATATTTCTTTATAAATGGGTATTTTTTACAAGATAAAAGTGTTATTATTTCACAGTAAACATTAATTCTTTAATCATTTTATCCAAAGCAAGTTAATAAAACCACCTGAGATGAAATGATTAAAATCATAAATTAATAATGATAACCGTGAAATAAGATAATTTTATGCTGTCATTAGTTATTTACAAACAAGAAGAAAGTAACTCAAAATAGGATTGCTTAAGGGAAAGGCGAGTGATATCGACAAAAGATGTCTTCCCAAGGCAAAAGAGATAAGAAAAACAGAAGTGGATGACAGATGAAACACTGGAGGTAATAAAAAAATACAATAGATAAAGTCAGTAAATGATAGCGAATATACAATGTTAAACAAAGACATTAGAAACAGATGCGAACAAGCAAAAGATGAATGGCTCAACGAAAAGTATTCAGAATTAGAAACACGACGGAAATGACATGGAAGCCATGCATAAAATGACAAAAGAAATAGCAGGATATAAAACGAACCCTTCGATAAGATTTATCATGTAAAAAGGGAACGTATAATAGATAAAAAATATAGTACAAAGTTAGAACGAATACATAAGAGATCACTTTCAAGACAACACAGGAGCGAAATCTAGATAAAAGATAAACAGGAATAAAACAGCAGGAAAAAATCGGGTTTTAATAGAAATTATATCAAGACTTTGGTATCGATTTTGTTTGTTTTGTTTTACAGCATATCAACCGCTATGGGTTATTTAATGCCGCCAAAATTTTTTATTGCTGGTAATATTTTTTTTCAAAAATCTATTTCTGGTAATATTTTCCTTCAAAAATATATTAATATTTATATAATAATATCTTATTTTTCAAAAATTTATTTGTGGTAACAATCTTTTTTTACAAAGCATTTCAAGCATTAAAACCCATTTTTACACTTTCACAGTGTCTTGACTCCAGTTTTGGGACCAACCACTTGCCCATAGCTGGGACCCCAACAGGTGTTACCACCCCGGGTCAGGGTGGACTCGAGAACACCAGCAATTAAGAGGCGGTTCTACGCTCCTTAAAACCTCCTGATCAAAGGACTTGCTGTTGGACGTAGTTTATCGTTTTACGCAGGACGCCGATGCAGTTTATCGTCTTTCCCAGGACGTTTGGTATCGATAAGATGATAAGTGAAATATAAGACAGCACTGAAATACCGGAATGCCTTATAGATGCATATTCATAACGATGTCTAAGAAAGCAAGTTCAATTGCATCGGAAGATCAACTTAATGAACCACATAACTAAACATATAATTCACATTTCAATTAATGTAACTCTTACATGAATTAAACCGGAAGTAGAGCAAGATATATGGTTTTGTTCAAGATACTGGAACAAGATATGCTACCTTTCTCGTGATAATGCTATCCGAGCAAGCAATACAAATGCAGAAAGACCGATACCAATATATAATTGGTTACACAAAATCATTTGACACGACGCAAATCCTACTTGAAATACAAAAAAACAAGAAAGTTGATTTACATAGAACAGATATTTCAGCAATCTGCAACCTCCGAAAAAACAGACTGCATGCATACAGAGAACAAGTTCAGTGAATGCACAAAAATAGATATAATAATGGACGCAAGTACTGAGATTCTGCCACAGTCGATGGTGATTCTTCAATATTAGGCATCATTCAGAATTCAGGAAGTAGAAGAAAAAGTAACAATATCTGGCCGTAATGTCTCAAACCGATTTAAGATTTTAAAGGGTAGCGATTATTCCTGGTAAGAAAGACCAAAATGGACTGGTCATCGTTTGTTGATTACAAGGATTTAAAACGCAAAATAGAAGAGACCACGACCGCCACGAGGTCACGAATATTTGAAGAGTAACGATTATTGAAACAAGATTCAAATAAGCCTTTACATCTGATTCAAAAGACTTTTTGATAAAGCCTAAAGAAATATGAAGAGTTTCAGATTTATTTCAACGCCCACTGCATAACATCTTTCATGTTGAAAAATGAATAAAAAATTAGTTTCATAAAACAAGATTAAAATTCCCATGTGCAGTTGCTGTGTAGAAAGACAACCGACCTTCGCTAACCTAAAATGTTGAACATGGACTCTTCCATTTCTTATGAAAGTAGTCACAAGCGGGGTACGGAGGAGTCGCAATAGTAGCTGCACGAACTGTGGAAAATTATACTGAGCGGTGCCCTTTTTGTGCGGACAATTTTTGTTCCTAACCCGGGTGTACGCGCTCGGGTAAAAAACTGACCTTGTGTCGCAACTCGTCTTAGTGGGGTGACAGTGTAAATACCTAGTAGCTTCAGGAACTACGATGTTCAGTACTACTGTATTGTTAATCCACGTAATCTTCACTAATCTTTTGACCCAGGTCTTTCTCTGGTATATTATCAACCAGAACTATGAGTTGATACGAGCATTATAATGACACTAATGTTTAAGAAACTGTATTAACTCTAGTGAGTATGGTTAAAACTAGTTGACCTAACCTTGCATCTGTTTGCGATTCCAAGCTTAATCAGCATCATCATCATCATCATCATCATCAGGCTCGGATGTAACATCTGAGTATCAGACCAGTTCTCTCCATATATCCGGTTTAAAAGCAAGGAGAGGTATTCATTCATGCTTAGCTTGTCTTAGGTAAGTTGACCTGACGAAACCCATCCCTATCCAGATCAGCCCACAGCCAATGTCCCCTAACTTGGAGGTTCGCATTGGTCACGGACACGTGATCGCTGATTTCACGAAGGGAATTCTCCACTTTGAACGTTGACTTAATTCTAGGAAGCCTCTCGTCCATCGGTGACACGTCATTGTAGGTATATATATATATATATATATATATATATATTAAAAAGAAGAGAAGAGAGGTACCGCAAACGTTTTGGGTACACACACACACACACACACACACATATATATATATATACACACATACTTCCCAAGCTACATGGAACCAGTATACACACACACACACACGCACATACACACATGCTTCTTAAGTTGTGTGGGGTTTGAATGTGTGCTCGTGAAATAGTTCCCTGTTTTGTCACGAGGATATATATATATGTATGCATACATTTATATATGTATATGCGGATGTTGACAAAACAGGGGAACTACTCACGAGCACACATCCAAACCCCACACAACTTAAGAAGTACGTGTGTGTATGTGCGTGTGTGTGTGTGTATACTGGTTCCATGTAGCTTGGGAAGTATGTGTGTATATATGTGTCTGTGTGTGTGTACTGATTCCTTGTGGTGGGATAGTGTGTATGTGCATATGTGTGTGTATGCATGTATATGTACAAATGAGTTTACTAATTCCTCGTAGTATATGTATGGAGGGGAAATATACGCACGCATATATACACGCATGCTGACAGAAACACCCAAAAATGGAAACAGATCCAAGAACACATAGGGGTCAGTAAAACATTAAAAGATAAAATGCCGATAAGCAATTCATCATTTCGCTTGGACCAACCTTAATTGTTTTATGACCCTTCGCGCAGAACTCTTCATTGCCAATTCAAGAAAGAAATTCGGATTACCAACACACAAACAGAGAATGTCTCATATCGAGAATATTTAACATTGAACATGAAGGAAAAAATTAATTATTTTTAATAATATGTGGAAATCTCCGCTTTTACCTGAAGACGGTCGCGAGACCAGAAACACGTGTCGTAAAATTATGTAAAACAAAGCATAATATTTTTTTCTAAATAAATCCACATTACAACCAAAACCGTTCGCGGCACCTCTCTTCTCTTCTTTTTAATATACATACTTTTTCTCTCGTTGGAACCACAACATATATCTTTTTTTATATATATATATATATATATATATATATATATATATATATATATATATATATATATATATATATATATATAATCCGGACTACTCCATTATATTGAACAAGGTGGCCTTTGACTGTACAGGAAGTTTCATCGGATCTTTGTAGGTCTTCTTTTTTAATCCTGATGGGTGTCTATTCAAAGACAGAAAACTTTTTTTAGATTGTAAAAATATTTAGGTGATATTAATGATTTACTAAAGAAGTATTAATAACTAAGCCGAAACTAGAGGGCGGAAAAGTGGCGGTTCATATCTTTCCCTAAATATATATATATATATATATATATATATATATATATATATATATATATATATATATATATATATATATATATTTGCCCGTAAGTGAATATAATGAATCTGTCTAGAATTCGAACTTGCCTCACTAATTTCTAATTGCGAGCCGTTATCAATTACACCACCCATACATGCAAGCTTACAGCACGTGATATTCCCAAGGGGTCACTCATCTAGGTACGAATCAGGCTCGTCATTGCTTAACTTCTCTGATGGTATGAGAACCGGTGTTTCAACGTATATAGCCATAAAACTAAAACTCCCCCTGTAGGAGGAACAGATTTAGTCACGGATGACTGGATTAAAGGGCAGGTTTTAATGGGTAGTAAACTTTATGTCAGGTCTATCGCTGTGTGTCACTTGATAAAAAATTTAGTAGATATCAATAAACTCTGGAGAGCCTCGACGTAAAGCAATGGTTAACTGCGTAATTCCCAATGATAGCCTTGTGCCACACTAAGATAAACTTACTCACAAAAGGAGATAAGATACGCATAACAAAATACAAACAAGAAAACTAATTCTTTTTTTCCAAATGGAAGTAAAATTACTCGAAAGTATGAGTAAAATATACGAACATAAAAGAAAGATATTCAAAAATATTTTCCATCGGAAAAAAAAAAACATCTCTCAGAATTTTCTAAGTATACATCCATAAGTAATTTCGAAAAAAATATACACATAATGACATATTTTTGAATGGGAAAAATCTAATAAAAGCTGGTTTACTTATACATATATTTAGATTATTTAAATTATGGAGTCGTACATGTCTGTAGAGATAAACGAGATAAACAAAAAACAAATATATATATATATATATATATATATATATATATATATATATATATATATATATATATATAAACAATTTTATGTATATATATATATATATAAATATCTATATATACACATATATATATATAAATTGATATATATATATATATATGAAATGTATAAATTTTTGTATGTTTACACAAAGACCTAACTTCAAAAACACGCACAACACATAAACACTCATATGTACATACAGGATGCGATCTTTAGATTGTCGCCATTTTATATTTTTAATTTCGCGCATGCACTTTGTTTGTTTTTCATTTTGTCGTCTGCACAGTATAGTAGGATCAGTTGGGCCCCGTCTGTGAGAAAAAGAGGCACCATGACGCAATTCACTTCGCCAGAAATTTTGAAAAGGCATGCTTGGTATTCGCACCGGAAGCTTAAATACACACATTTCAGAGTCTTTGTGTGTCTATCTGAGGACAGAGCAGGGGATTCGGAAAGAGTCAGATGAGTCTAATGGAGATTACGAAGATGTTTGGAGAGATTACTAGAGATGGCGACGTTATGTCTCCATTCATCTTTCCGCTGGGCCTCAGACTCAACACGGAGACCTACATCAAGCAACTTGAGGGGGTAGTACTGCCCTGGGTCAAGAGGATGGCTGCTGGAAGTCCCTATGTCTGGCAACAGACTCTGCACAAAGAGGAAAACCCAGTCATGGCTGTCAGACAATTTCTACGACCACATCTCTCCTTACATATGGCCACCAAAGACCCCAGACTGTAACCCCTAGATTATTATGTCTGTGGCACAGTTGAGCGAGAGACCTACAAAAATTCTTGTAACACCAAAGATGAATTTAAAGCAAGGAAATCAACGACGGTTGGTGACCGTCGTTGATTTCAGAGACGCAGACATCTTTGTTGGTGTGCCAGTTACTTGTTTAAGACCCTCGTATATGTTTGCGTGTATGTGTAATAAATGAATGTTCAACGAATCTTTCACATTTGTAAGTTCGTGTGTGCCCATATCTGCATATATATTTCATCTAGCATTATGAACCACTTGGGATGAATATACATATGATAATGAACGCAATAAGACCCTCTTTTTGTGTTTTAATAGACAGAATAAATCGATCATCAGAAATGATTTATGGTCTCCCAATGCCAAGCTATCATCATACGAATATTTTTATGATCAATGACTGTATTCGCAGAGTGGCATCAAACAAGACTTTATCTCTATATCCACCTTCTTTTTTTTTCCTTTACTTATTTCATTTGTTGAAATTTTTCGGAAAGTGATTTCAGGTCTTTCTTCGCCATAAGGAATCGGCTCAAAGGAAACCATACTGGGCTTATTATACAAATAACCGATCTCAGCCGGTTGAATCGTTTTCACAAGCCCTGACATACACACTAATTACGATAACAGCTCACCATTATTATGTTTTTTTTTATTATTATTTTTATGCGGAGATGGTCACACTGGCATATGTACATACATTTGGTCTCACATCAAGAATTTCAAACACAGAGACAAACAAAGCTAGGCCCGCACGTATGTGCAGTAGAATAATTTATTGTTAGTTGCTGAAACTATTCGTCTGTTTCTATCATTTACATTTTATTTGATCGAGATTCGCGTTCATTTGCATATAATTTTCAAATGAATTATTCCAAACAACCAATGTGTCTGCTATAGACGATTATCTGGTATTTATCTGAAATATGAATGCTTTTATGTATTCTTTTGGAATATTCACAAACACGCAAGGACATCCAATCAAATTTTTATGCTTTCAGAAGCAACTTGTTTCATTAATTCATAAGATCTTTGTTGGAGTTTTATGGGATGTTTAGAGATTACTGTCATTTGACACCTTATCGCAATTTACTGCAAGAATTCGTACAATATTAGCAGTAATAAAATAAAAACGATGCATCTTCATACAAGTGTTATGTTATTTATAACAGTTTTAACAAATATTTTAAAGCCGAGAGAAAATCAGACGATGATTACTTGTACATGTTTAGTTAAATTTTAAACTGAAAAATAATCAGAATATTTATTTTATGAGAAAAATTAAACAATGATTAACTTAATGTCATCTATATAATACTAAATCTGTGATTGCGTGCGTTCTTGAGTCGTGCATCCGTCTGGCACATCAATATTTACGAGTTGTTTATGCAGTATTTTTATTTTAAATGTCTTCAAACAGACAATTTTTTAATTAAGATATTTTAAAGTTAAAGACAGACACAAAAAGATCTCGCTTTACTGTTTCGTTTAGTTGTTTGTAGAGTAGTTATTTATATTTCAGCTTTCTTTAAATAAAAAAATATTTTAAATATTTAACAAAATATTTTGGCATATTTAAAAAAACATTTTCAAGTGATTATGATTTTAAAATATTCTTTTGCATATTAAAAAAACTATTTTTAAGTTAATCTGATTTCAAAATATTTTAAGTGAATAAGATTTAAAAATACGAGTTGTTTATACTGTAAGTATTTTTACTTCAACTATCCTCAGACAGGCAATTTTTGGATGTTGAAATAAACTTCAACGTTTTATAACCTGAACCATCAATAACACAAGGGGTTATTGGTAATCTAGTAAAATATATGTATAATAACGATTAAAAATGACTCACTTTCAACTGGAGTTTTATTCTTATAATTAACAAAGGATTTCGTAAAGATGCTATATATTGTAAATCAGTAAAAATTACTTTAACGTACTTATGTTAGTATATGTACTTTTTGAAAACGTAAAGAAAATATAAACATTTATGGCAGTTATTTGACTAATATTTTAATGTAGAATTGAAAGGCTTTAAAATATTCTAAGGCTAAAACCTTTTCATCTTTTTTATCCGAACATCAAACCCGATCAGAAATATGTAAACTGCCTGCTTCAATGATCAATGGTTAGAAATGGTTTTGAAGGAATTAGGCCTGTAGATCTTACTGAGGACCATCCTTCTTCAAACCTTGTGGAATTGCACCACAGAATCACAAAGAACTGTAACAAATAACAGAAACCACTTGAGGACTTTCCACGGAAGGAACAGTTAAAATGGATATCACATATAACTGGAAGAGGAAATAATAACATATTCGAGCGGCTGAGTTTTCCACTCTACTTCAAATAAAAAGTTAGGCAGGAAACTCCCATCAATACTAAAAAGAGCGATAACAGGTACAAGACATGAGAAACCTATTTTCCTGAAAAATGATTTTTTAGATAAAGATTTATAATTTTCAATAGACATAAATTACTAGCTGCTCCATCAAATGGCTCCTTATAAGGTAATGGCTAATATTACCCTTACCATTAATATATTTAGTGAAGTTAGTGTTATAGTGGAACACACCTATTCTATTGTTAATAGATTCTCCCACCTATAATAAGTAGGAGTAGTAGGAGTCGCTCAAGGGTTCGAGGGTCAGTCGATGTCGGACGACCACCACTAGATTTCTCTACCGCGAAACTCAGTTAATTACTAATAATTTACAGGCACGCGAGGATACTAGAGAATATTTATTAACTGATTGATTAGTTTTTACGGATTATCAACATTTTGCAGGTTATTTAAAGCCAGAAAATAATAATGATTTACTGACATAAGTACTACTAATTACTCCATCGCGGGCAGAGAAGTGGTGGAATGATACCTTTCCCAAGGGTTTTTGCACGTAAGTGAATATAACGAAGCCTACTAGAATTTGAACTCGGCTGTCTAATTTTCGATTCCGATCAGTTATCCATTACACCACGCAAGCATCCAAGTTTACGGCACATAGTATACACAAGCGGTTACCCATTAAGGTACTGACCAGGCTCGATGATGCTTAACTGTGATGATCGTAAGAGAACCGCTGTTTCAACGTGATATGGCTGTAAGCCACGAGGGGAGATAATTCAAGACTTGGTGAATGAATAGTCAAGTTTAAAGCCTGTCTGAAGTTATTATGCAAATCAAATAAACCTCAATAACTCAAAAAGTTCTGAACCAATATTTATCAAATTTAAACTCATCCATTTCCCCACTTATTAAAATATTTAACTTAATTTCCTGTCATTTATAATGTCTTGTTTTTGAAGTACCTGGAATTTACGAAAATGGATTGACTAAAGTTAGTATGGAGATTAAACTAATATTAGCTTATGATCTCCGAAATCTAATAACTATTCTTTCTTTTTATCGATAGGTAAAGGGAAGATTCTAACTGCTGAAAACAGAAAACGACAAAGTTAATGAGTCGGAGAATATTCACATTGGTGATATCAAAGCAGCTTTGCAGAGATCATCGAGCGATAAAGAAGGCTGTTGAAACTCAGTTGAGAACCTGAAGCAAAAGAAAAGGGTTCAAGAACTTCATCGAGTTCCACGTAAACTGAGCGAAACAACCACTTTTGAATCAACGCCCAGATCTTTGAAAAGGCTGGAATTTAGTGTGTCAAGAAGGACAAATGATGTAGAATACTTTGTGAATCGAGATCTGTAAAAAATCTCATTGGCAACCTCCTCTCTCTAAAGCAAATATTTTAAAGTGTCAAATACATGAAAATTGACTTTTCTAAAGTAATTTTCACGGACGAATCTCGAGTGATATGTGATGGCCCTGATAGATGTGCCAAAGGATTCAATTCAGACGTGCTAAAAGAAGGCAACAAAAAGAAGGTAGTGTTATGATATGGCTGGAATTGTCTACTAAACCGTTATTTGTCCATTCAAAGTCGACGAAGGACTTAAACTGAACAGTACTAACTATTGTAAATTTATGAACAAGACTTTCTTTGTATGGTACAAGTCCCAGTCTTGCAGTTTCAAAGTGAAGTGTGCAGAGGAGAAGATAATGGAATGACCTCCATCAGGTCCTGATTTGAATCCGATCGAAAATCTATGGTCTATTGTGAATATGAAATTATATGAAGTTGGCAAACAGTATAACAGCAAAGCATACCTATGGGAAAAAAGTAAAACTGCCATGTCGGAAAATGAACCTGCTGAAGTAAGAACATTAACAAAGTCAATGGATTATTGGCTGTTATTGAGAAGAAGAGTCACTGAATTAAAATGTAAAGGATTCAAATAGAAATCATATGTGTTTGTTATTTGTTCTATTATAGGTGTTGGACAATTTTTTCATGATTTTATAACCTTTTTATTGAAGTAAAATATGATTATTTGGTTTTGCAGTTTTTTAGAATACATCAAATAACTTCAATAAAACATATTGATACTACCTAAAATTTTGACACAGGCTTTGTTTTAACATCTAAGTTGATTGTTTAAAATTTGTCAATATTTTGTCACCCACATTTGAATTATTGAAGTTTATATGATTTATTTAATAACTACAGACAGGGTGTACTCTTTATGGCCTACAGTCCAGCATGCTAGTTTCTGTCGTTCAGTGACATTTATCATATGATTGATATTCTATTTTTACGAGATAGAAACTTGATTTGATTCCTTCTGATGTCCACTTTTCCTTAAAATACACATTTTTCCCTTTTTTGTTAACTTTCCTTGAATTGTAAGAGTCCAACTTCAATGACTTTGAGGTATGGATGTCTTGAGACGACAAAAGCAATTATCTCGTCATTTCAGTCAAGAATATGTCCATAACACCCTTTTTGAATATAGAAAGTAGAATTATTGCCTACTTTGGAAAATAAATGATTTTTATTTTTCTCTTATAGAAATGTTGCTTGAAGTAGAGGCCCTTTCAAAACTGAAATTATCATGTGTTAAATTGCGTAAAAGTGTGTTTATTTCTAAAATATGCACCATAAAATTTTCTCAAATCTTACTTTCTTGATAGCTGTGGTGGAAATATTTTTCGTTAATCCGCTTCAGGTTCACTCATTTGTTTTATTATTCTGTTTTATGGTCGACTGAATAGGACTGACTTTATAACTGTTTTGCATACTTAATTTACTTGGTTTCATTTAAGGGAATCAAATAGAAAATTGATAAAAATAAACAATTAAGCAAAACAATTACAAAGCCTTCAGTGGCTTTATGTTTTTGCTTAAAACATTGATGATTCTAACGATATGCAGTTATAGTTAGACACGGCAGAAAGTAAAATTGATCTTCACTTTTTGGTAGGACACTTCTGAATTCAAAACCAGAATGAAGATAAATAGACAGTGTCTCTTTACACGCGCACACTGATAATACGGTGATTCAAAGACCCATGATTAGTTGCTGTGACTTGGGACTGACTCATAATGCTTCTAAAAATATCTAAACAAGTAACTGATATTATTTTTTTAAATTTGGGCGACAAAAATTCTATATCTGATGGCAGGCAGTGTATAGTTTCAATTTTGATATTTATGTACTTGCATGTTGTTATTTCTTTTTCTATTATATTCATTAATATAGTACAAAATCCACATTCAAAGTTTATGCTTATATAAAATCCATACATTGTTAAAATGATTTTAATAATAACAAAACAGTTTTAGTTTAAAGTTGGTTATTGGTTTTGGCACAATGAAGAAATTGGTACAATGAATATCTTGGAAGAAAACAAAGAATAAAAGGGAAGAAGATGGTAGATAAAAAAAAAGAAGACCAAAAGGATAGAATGAAGAAAGAGGTGAAGCTAGGCTGCATAACAACATTTCAGGCAATAGAATAAACGAAAAACAAAAAAAAATATTAATTCCTTTTAATTTCTTGTTCTTAACAAATTATTTCCTTTGAGGATGTAGAGAAGCCTTCATTGTCTTTGTTTCTTAGACTTTATTTGTGCTTTCTCAAAGAAATAATTAATTCATCTCAATTGTCAAAGTTAGATTTTTAAAAAGAAATAAGATCTATTTATTGTGCTAATCAAGCGGTTATCTCGGCTTAATAAATAAAAATAAAATACATTTTTAAAATTGTGTGACATTTCGTTTATTGAATAAAATTACCATTTTCTGAGAGCATATTCTGTTATTTTTATGGCAAGTCCCCAATTCTGTTCTCCAGGTTATATTTATTAGCAAACAGCTGCTTTACGTAATTTATTGAATTGGTTGATGGTATTTATCAATCCACTCACGGGGATCGAATGTGGCACAAAGCCTTTTTAATGTGGGTATCTCTGAGCCCGTAGGCCCAGCCAAAAATAAATAACCATCCAAACCCGCCGAGGCGGGCCAGTTCCGTCAACCTCCCCCAACGAAACCCTACCCTTCGGTGGAGCCTCGTCCGGGTTCCTCTCTGCAATCAGAGAGTTCGACAGACACCCGTCCCGGCAGCTCACAAAGCGCAGATACTACACTTTGATCCTAGCCACCGGGCCGAGCATTGAATTGGTTGATTGATTCGTTTTCTACAGATTATCAACCATTTGTAAGTTATTTGAAGACAAAAAATATTTTTAGATTGGAAGAATTTTTTCTTTGAGATAATAATAATTTATTGATACAAGCCATAGTTGGCGGAAGAAGAGGTGGATTTCATACCTTTCCAATGTATATTTGCGCGTAAGTGAATATAACGAACACAGCTGAAATTCGAACTCGGCTCTCCGATTAAGAATTCCTAGCCATTATTCATTAAATCACCCGCACATCCAAGCACTATAGCATCTGGTATTCCTAAGCGGTCACCCATCTAAGTACCATCTAGATCCGACGTTTCTTAACTTCATTAATCGTAAGGGGACCGATTTTTCAACGCTATATGGCCGTAAGAAGATTATATGTCGAAAATGACTTTTATTTAACATATTATTATAACCAATAAACAAATGTAAGCAAATTCTTACAAATTTTGAAATAAAACATTATTCTATGATAGCCATTACATTACAATTTACGCGATCGTGAATGAAGTTAATTAAAAATAAACACTCTTAATGCTATATAAGCACAGAAACAGAATGAATCTTTTGTGCGACCTAGCAGTTTAATTGTAACAGATAATATATTTTGTAACAAACTAACTTAAGAATTATTCGTGGCGTTTAAAAAACAAATATATTACTTCGTTATTAGTTCACAAGGAGGCGCGGTGGAGTAATGGATAGCGGCTCAGAGAGCCGAGTTCGAATTCCAGTCAAATCCATTACATTCATTTACGTGCTAACACCCTTGGTAAAGGTATAAATCCTCTTCTCCTCCCTCCAGCTATAGGTAAATAGCAGGACATACCGGGTTCTATAGCCTTGGATGGCAACTGGTCTACCGCAGAAAGAAATGCTAACCTACTACGGAAAAAAATCTGCCTCGTCAATCATGCATCAAAAAATACATGATCGCCTAAGCGTGCATTGCGTATGGCACGTAACTGATTAGTTCACATATTTATAATAACCACGTTTGTTACCAGTGGGTGTTGAGTTTATATCTCCAAGCAGAGATTCTTGTTGATTCAATTTTCAGATTGAAGAATCAAGAGATCTATGCCAGAGAAATTCTATTTTCATAAAAGCACGACAACATGGAGACAAGAGCGAAATGTTAATTTTAGATCATTTTTCCTAATTTCAATCTTAAGCATCAATTAAAATGCAACCGATGTTTGGCAAACAATTTGAAAGTTTTGCTGTATTTAAACTGAAGTGGATTTGACTAGAGAAGACGAAAGGAAATTCCGGTTCGTCTCTGATTAAATTCTCATTAATTCTCTTGTTCCTCTTTTTCTCGTCAGTCTTCATTTCTCTCTGTAATGTAATTGGCTTATAAATTTGAAATTGATGACAGAAGCTAAGATCTGATGTTTATATATTGAAACGCCAATATAAATAATAACATTTTAAATGAGTCTCAATTGACTTGTACCTGAAAATTCAACTTTTCGGAGACAATTAGTGGTGTCTACCTAAATCTTATTAATTGGACATTCGAATTGGAAAAAGAAATTTTACATAATATTGAGGTGCATCAAAAT